TTATATTATATTATATTAGAATTAAAAAAAAAAACCTGATTTTTGAATTTTCAAACTATAAACATGATTTTTGAATTGGTGTAAACTAAACACCTTATTTATGAATTTTTCCCATGTTTAATTTTATCTTTCATTAAACCTATAATTTAAAATTATACAGACTGTGTTTTCATCCCCACTGAGATAAATAACATTACTCTCTTGTTAAAGTGCACTTGTAGAGTTGGAGGGTCGGTTCGAGTTGGGGCCCAATCCGAATCCAACTCAACATGTTTCAACCAACCCTTTCAGGGACTCGACACAGTTCACACCAACCAATCTTGGGGGGTTGGTTTTTGACTTTCAAATATTTAAAAAGCAATTACGTGTGCTCTCCGTGTTTTCATATACCCAATTGCAAGTCACACCACCATCGTAATCCACGCACTGGCATTAAAAGACACGCATTAGATCGCTGCGGAAAAATCAATTACGTGTGCTCTCCGCGTTTTTATTTGACAGTTTTTAAATTTTTTTTAATTGCAGGCAGTTCTAAGTTTGGTTAATGACCCTTTATTATCTAAATCAATATTTAAAATTATGTATTTAAAACTATTTTCAACAACTATTAATTAAACATTATTTGTCTTGCTATCCATTGCAGGGTTGTCAATGAATTGAATTTTGATCTGAATTTGATGAAATTAATATGAGATGGATTCAAGGTTTCAGTTCGATAACTCAATCAAGATTTGAATTCGATAATCCGTTAACTAAATGGATCAAATATAGATATAGGTCAATTCGGTCCGATAATAATTCGATCCAATTTATTATAAATAATTGAGTCGGTAGAATATTCTATGGTACGTTATTTGTGACTAAAATAAATAAATTTAGAATAAAAAATCATCAAATTCAAAACATAAAAAAATTTATAATTATTAAACCCGTTTAAAAATTGGGAAAAAAAAAGTTGATTGCAACTTTTTTTTTTTTTGCCTTCTAATTCCTATCAATTTTAATTCTACGAAAATATCATGAAATACAAAAATTAATTCATTACAGTTTTGTCCATTACATATTTTTCAAATAAAAAGGTACATAAAAAGTAAAGTAAAATATAAGCAGAAAAGGTAACCAATAAGCAGAAACTCTTATCACAAACACAAACCAAACACATCACCTAACCAATATCCCCCATAGCAACAATTCTTGAAACCATGTAAAACAATCCGGTGCCTACGGCGGACATCAACGCCGAGAGAGAGTTACAGAAGAAAGCAAGATCAAGAGAATGAACAAAAGAATCCCTCCAAATGATCCAATCAAAGAGCCAGAAATCCTTTCGCAGAATGAGTTAAATTGTTGACAAATAGCAAACCAATTTGCCTTCGTATTTCCTTTGTGTGCTAAGTATACAATTGCTGCTGCTGCAGATGCTGCAGCAGTTAAAAGCGCCAGCATTCCCTACACATTTAAATTTTCTTTTAGACATGACACTTAGTATAATATCAAAATTGTTTGAGTTTATTAAAAAAAAGAATAAATTATTTTGGCCTACGTGTAAGAGTCGAGAATATTTTGTAGATTAAAAAGATTAAAACTAGCGTAATTTGATTTAGCAATGAACTTAATGGATTGGAGAAAAACTGTTCATGTTTCCAAGTGGCAAAACTAAAATTAAAATTTTAAGGTAGATTAAAATTTAGAGTTAGGTTGGCTACGAGCTTTTGGGATGTGCTAAATCTTTTTGAACCAAAAAAAAAAAAAAATGTTAGAATTATTCTTCGTGTACATAGGGGTCTCCTTTCCCTTAGGAGACTCTTGGGACTCGCCCTATGTGAGGGAAATGACACCCAAAGTACAAAAAATTATGTACATCAAGCATGACCCATTTTTCAATTTACATGTAATGGATAGAAGTATCTCCCACCGCCCCAAAATTGACTAGGGTTGTATCCCAATTTTGGCTCAAAAAGGTCCACTCTTAGGCTGACTCTAAAATTATTGGGAACAAGTTTAATTTATAATTAACCACTTGAGTTGATAATTTAAAAAAAAATTAAAAGTGAAATGGAGAACCAATGTGGAGGAATGTATTTTAGTTACCGTGTCGAAGAAAATCAAGACAATCCTGCTGACTTGTGCTTTACTCCTTATAATGTGGAAAATGGACAGTGCAAGAGAAAGTAGTAGATACACACTCACGATGGAATTTGCCACCACGAAAAACCTGCACAAATTGCAATGGTGAAAATACATAACATTCTCATATTCGAGCAAAAGGTGAGGATTGCAATAGATTGAAAAAATAACATAAAGTCTTCTAACATGTATGAAAGAACACTCGCATGCACTTACGTAAACATTGGAAGATCATCATATTTGGCGCGGAATCGAATAAATTGGGTTAAAAAGGGAAGTGTTTCATTAGTTGTTCCCATAGCAATAGCACTTCCCAAGGTTCCAATCACCGCAACAATTCTCAAGATAAAATCGAGTATCGATGCACCTCGACTTGCACTGGTTTTCGGAGTTGAACCCGAGCCTAGCTCAATCACTCCTGCCTTCATTTTTTTCAAATAGATGATCGTAAAACGACTCGAGAAGTTTAGCTATGAATGCTCCATATGAAGCTAGGCATGGAGATTTTATAGGGTGGAGAAAGGCACTGTAAAGAAATATTAATTAAAACCACTATACTTGTGGTTAGTACAATATGCAAGCAAAAAGGGATTTTAATTAAGTTAACTTATCGTACTTGCTCCAAAAGATTATCCCAAAATTATTTATTTGCATATCTCCAATTCCACCCGATCTTTTCCAGAATAGGAAAATTTATTCTTACGCAAATTTGGAGTGGTTTAGTAAAGAGTATATAAGATGAACTAATCCACTTCAATTTGTGATTCATGAACAACGCGTGGTTTATGGTCTTCTTAATATAAACTAATATAAGGAATATCGAGAGTTAATATTAGCCCCCGTTTGGGCCACCTTTTTATCTCATTAAAATGAAAAAATATGATCGTTATCCATTACATCAATATTTAAATTCAAATTTTCTATCTTTTGTGTGGGCCCCAATAATGGCTATATTTTTTATTCTCATTCTACAAAAAGGTGGCATATCTCATTAAAATGAAAAAATATGATCGTTATCCATCACATCAACATTTAAATTTAAATTTTCTATCTTTTGTGTGGACCCCAATAATGACTATATTTTTCATTCTCATTCTACAAAAAGGTGGCTCAAACAAGGTAAGTCCTCGATATGTAGATGATTCATTGCTTACGTTATTTTCTCAAATAGAGACAGTGGAGAATTATAGAAATAGTAAAATGCCACAAAAGGAGTCTAAAATGGAAAAGGAGACCAAAACCGCGAATATGGCAGAACAGGTGGTGTCGCGGTGCCACTCTTTGAGCTTCGTTGAGCCGACTTTGCTATTTTATTTACAGTAGCTGGCGCTGCGACCAGGCGCCTTGTCTTCGACTCAAACTCTTTCCAATGATATTTTTCTTCATTCCAATTTTTTTTTTCAATTCCAACAAAAATTCTCACTCCCAATGTGCTTCCAAGTAGAATTTCAATTAGAATTTGTCAAGAAAACTTGAAAATGATTTCACAATTGCATTCTAAATGGGATTCTAGTTAATGTGCACTTTAATTAGAATTTTCAATTATTTTTAACAAAGAATTCGGGTCACATCCAAATTCTAACAATCTCCACATTGACATGAATTTCATTATAATGAACAAAGTTTCAAAAATTATCACTCTAAGACATTTTAATACAAGGACTAAACTTGAACTATTCAATGAAAAATACAAACAAATTTCTCTATCAACAATTCCAAGTTATATTCTCAACCTCTACTACTCCAATTACGGGCAAAAGTGATCTAATGATCATCAAACAAGGCAGAAACAAGTTATCTAATAGAATTACAACTGAATGCATCAAAAGAAGGATTTTGGCTAGAATCAACATCCGTAACCGCATTTAAACCATCAACAAAATCAGCAGAATTGTGCCTTTGTAGAATCTTACGACAAAATATGCTGGTAAAACGGATTTAACCATATCTTCAAAATTCCATTGAGATGCATTCTTAAATGAAGACCCCAAATTAGACTCAAACGGTACATAAACCAATTCTAAATCCACTCGAGTTCTTAAAATATGCTGATTACTCGAAGATTCTCTATTATCTCGCAAGATATATAAATGAGATTTCTTATATCCCATCAGCACAAAACGGGCTCCTTTGATAACCATCAGAACTCTACATTCAATAGTATCTATGTACCCTTTTGAATCAAAACTACTTAAGGAGATAAGATTTTTCTTTAAATCTGAAACATGTCTTACTGCATCAAGTGTTCTAACAGTCCCATCAAACATATTTATTTAGACTCGACCAATACCAGCTATCGACAAGGTGTGCTGTTACCGATCATCGCAACACCTTTTGAAACTTCTTCATATATTAAAAACAATTCTCAATTGGGTGACATATGAAAAGTCCAAGCTGTATACAAAATCCAAGGTGCATCAGGTTTGGAGTTGTAGTTAGATATAATTAGAAACTTGCAATCATTGCTAGGATTTTCTACAATTCTCCTGAAATTTCTAATTGTTGATTTGCAATTGATTTTGATTTATTTTGCAAACTATAACAATCGTTTACCAAGTGTCCATTTTTCTTGCAATAATTACAAAATTTGAAGATAGATTTTGACTTGTCTCTCGAACGACCACCATGAACATTGAGACCATCTCCATGATCCCAGATGCTATAAGATGCTTCATCTTCTCTTTTAAATATAGGGTATCGTAGAGTTCTTCGATGGTGAGAGTATCATGACATATAGTATCGTGTCTCTAAAAGACATGTATGAGGTCGACAATGAACACAATAAAATCAATCACAAGTCTTATTCATCATATTTAACCTCCAAGGTCTCCAAATTAGAGATGATCTCTTTAAAATCAGTTAGGTAATTCTCAAGAGATGTACCTTCTGTCATACGATGAGAATATGGATGTTGCTTCAGATGCAATTTTATAGTAAAACTCTTCGTCATGTATAATTGCTCCAATTTTAAGCATAATGCAGTGGCTAACTTTTCATTCAAAATGTTCAGAAGAATATTATTGGAAAGATGAAGATATATTTGATATAGAGCTTTTCGATCCCTCCGTTGTTTCTCCTCCATAATCCACGTTGTAGGCATCTTATCAAATCCCAAAAACTCATAATCTAGATCCATCTAAGAGAGTACTGTTCGCATCTTTATCTACCACAAAGAGAATCTTGTATTATGATCTAATAGTAAAATTTCATACTTTATTGTTGCCATCATGAAAAACTTCAATCTTCTTAAGAATTTTAGCACCAAAAGCTTTGATAACAATTGTTGTGGATTGGAATACTTAAATACCAGTTTGTTGTGAAAAGATATAAGATTAAACCACAATATGAAGTAATTGATCACAAGAACATAAGAATAATATAATTTGCAGAAAATTGAGATTTTATTATAATATATAGAAAGAATTCAAAGATTATGTATTTAAAATGTTTCCAACTTCTAACTCGTTTTAAAATATAATGAAGAGCTAACTATATATAGGGAATAAATAGGGGACGTCCAAACTCTAATAGCAAAGTTGTAGATAGCAAAGTTGTAGATAAGGTAGAATGTCAAAAAATGGAGTCCAAAACGAAAAATGAGACGAAAACAGTGGTGAGGCAGAACAGGTGGCGTTGCGATGCCACTCTTGGGGCTTTGTATTTATAGTGGGCACCTCATCTCCGATCTAAACTTCTTCCAATGATTTTTTTTTTATTTCAAAGTTTTCTTCAGGTCCAACACAAATTCTCACTCCCAACAAACTCTCAAATAGAGCTTCAATTAGAGATTACCAAGAAAATTTGAATAAGATTTCACAATTGCATTTCAAATAAGATTCTAATTAATGTGCATTTTAATTAGAATTCTTAATTATCTTCAACAAAGAATTTCACTCACACCTAAATTCTAACAATATTAATTAATTGGATATGCCTTTTGTTGATGTTAAAAAACTCTGAAACTTTTATCTCATCGTTGAGGAGAACAAGCCAAAAATTAGTTCGGCCCTCTATGGGAAAGAAGGTTGATGATGGAACACATTTTGATTTCTACATGGGCATTTAAATTTAAATTTGTAAATCAATCGAAAAAGTTACAAGTATTATATATGGATGTTGTACAAAATATTATGTGCATAAATAAATAGGGTAAATTAGATAAAATGCTGTCAACCTTCAGGTTCATTTGCATTTTCGTATTCAATCTTTCCTTCGACGATAAGCCGGTCCCCAACTTTTTGAAAATTAGAAAGCACTAATCCAAATGGATGAATTGTGTCACTTCCTCCTTTAGGCAGTATGTGACCTGAATGCTGAAAGAGGCAAAATTGTGATCCTTTACATTTTTTAATTTCTCTGTGATAGGCGTGGTCCACTCAGACCTTATAAATAAGGATGAGGCTTGGAATGGCCAATGTCCAACCGAGCATGTCAGAAGCCCAATATTTTTTTGTGAAAATTACATAAAATCAGAATTTTTAAGTTAACATTTCAAAAGTTAGATTTAAAGTTTATTTTTACAAAAATCAGAACATAATTAAACATTTAAATATTAATAATAATATTTTAAAACTAAATTAATCTATATACCCACTCCTGTCCACCCAAACCCTAATTTATCCTCTCTCTACATCTCTATCTCCCCTCTCTGTACGGCGTCGCGCGTGACTGCCATGTGACACTACATCGACACGAGCGGCGGCGTAATCCCATGTAAGAAGATCTGAGAGTGGCGTGTAGTTTTCAATAGTGGTGATGATGGTGAATTTGCTTGGGGGTGTGGTAGTGGTGTTGATGCTATTTGTTGTGGTGGTGGTAGTGGTGGTTTGGGGGTGGTTTTGGTGTTGTGGGGTGGGGGGGACAGGGAGGGGGTTTGTTGGTTGTGCAGGTAGAGGTGCGGCAGTGATGTTGGAACTGGCGACGGTGAGCGTAACGATGAGTTGTTGAGGTTTTTGTTGTGTTGCAAGTAGATGTCGTGGTAGTGGTGGCGGCGGCAGACAATGGTAATCGTGGTGGTGGTGGCGGCTGCGGTGGTTCTCTCATCTCTCCTCCATTCTCTCTTCACTACCGTCTCTATACTTTCAAATCGAAACAACTGTCGCTGCTACCGTCGTCGCTACAACAACTCGCTTGATGTGACGGTGGTGGAGTGGCAACGACGGTTGTGACGCTATGGTGGTTGTGGGGTGTTGGGGCGGTTTTGGATCTGTTTGGTTGGTGTGGCGGTGCTGGTGAGGTGGTTTTGATGATAGCAGTGGATCTGACAGCAACGACGTACAGGTGGTTGGTTGCATGATTGTGGCGAAACTGGTGAGGGTGGTGAGGTATTGTTACCATGATGGTTTATTGTTCATAGGTCCGCGAAGATGTGTAGGTTGGATATTGTAGTTGTGGTGGTAGCTGAAAATGGTGGTGGTGATGGTGACGATGGTGGAGGCGGTGACGATAGCTGTGAAGTGATGGTGGTTGTTGAGTGTTTTCGATTTTAGATCTGATTTGTTGTTGGTGGTGGTGGTGGTGGCGACTGCGGTGGTGGAGATGACGATTGTGACGGTCACAACTTATCAAATTCGAGGCGATGGTTTTGTTGTCGGGAGGTGGTGTTGGTGGTTCCGATGAAGGTAGTTTGGGCTGTTACAACGGTGTCATGGTCGTCGCAAGCGTTGATGATCGTCACAAATGATTTGGTTGATTGTGATCAATGAAATAGATAAATTGTACCAATAAATACTATGTGACCTAAAAATTTAGAGCCTGTTTGGGAGGCATTTGTATCTAATTTTTTGAAGAAATCATGCCGTTATATACAGTACCATGTCAGTGAAGCGGAGCCACAACGTTTGACTAAGATGATTGAAATTACCAATGTGCCACATTTTATTTAATTAACTCCTCTTTACAAATGGAATTTTTGGGCATATAAGTGAATTTTGTGTTAGTAATTGCTGCACAAAGGGTCCTACTGATATATCAATATTGTGGCTACTGCTCTTGCAACGGGCAATTTTTTACTAAAAATTGGCAAAATATGTAGAACAAACAGAGACTTATTAATTTGTGATCAATAATTTGATAAATTGTGACCTAAATATAATTTGTAATCAATTAATTTGATATTTTGTAATCATAAAATAAGTTTTGAGTTATAAAATTTATAATTAGTGACCAATAAATAATATATGATTATTAATTTGATAGATTTGTGATCGATGAATAAACGGTGACATACAAATTTTTGATTTGTGACTGATGAACAAATTGTGACCTATAAAAATTTTGAACTATGACCGTAAAATAATTTGTGACATATAAAAATTGTTATTTGTGACCAATTATATGGAATTGTGATATTAATATATTTAATTAATAAAATATATGTTTAATTAATTAATTTATAAATAAAATTTAAAAAAATTAGATTTGAAACTTTAAATCTTAAAAAATCTAAAATTTGAACCTTTCGGAATTCCTTCACCAAATTTATCCAAGTTTGTATTTGACCAAAATTGGATAAATAAGGTCAATGGTGTTTAGAGATTGTTGGTTCTCCCTTCTCGATAATGGGAAACAACACGTTCTTCAAATATTTCGGAAGATGATTTATGTTGGGGATCCAATATCTCAACTCTTTTCATTATCGAGAAATCTCGATTCTATCTTTTCGACATTTACCAATAATGGCGAATTCTCTCTCTCCTCATGCCAGGAAATCATTTGAGAGAATTCCTTGCCTTTCAGGTATTATTTTGAAAACTAAAGCACCAATTGATTCAAGTTGACGAGATACTACAAAACACTGTGAATCTATCTTACCAAACAAGGCAAAAGGGTATGTTTTGCACATTGCATTGAATATGAATGACTTGTAATAAAACCTATTAGTTGCATGTATTTCTAAACAGTTACAACACAACATTCTTTAGTTTCTAAACAAAAATTGTCTATGTATGCACCAAATTAAAACGGTTCTTAAATGTGATATTAAAGACAGATGAGAAAAATAAATGAACAATTAATTCTTAAACCATTAAGATTGTGAAACATTTGATATTCGTTACACAAAATCTAAGCAAGTCATATGAAAAATACATAAATTGCCAATATTGGCAATAGAGTGGTGATAGAAAACATGGAGAACTGGTGCTAATGTTAAATTGTATAGGGAATTAAGTATTTNTAACTGTTCATTCTTGTATTTCGTTAACTTGTTTAAATTTTGAGATTTAGATATTCACTTTGAGAAAACATTGAATAACATATTTTAAGTTGAGTATATATGTGCGTTTTAGTGTTAGTTGAGTCTTTATTTTACTACAAATCAAGTTTGGAAGTGTTTGATAAGTAAGATTTTATTATTTAATTAGGAAAAAAAAACTCGATTTTGGAAAGTGAAATGATGAAAATGGGCGAGTTTCGATATGAAAGTGAATCGATTTTTATTAAATTATGTTAGTATGACATATTAACACAAGTTTTAACATGAAAATATGATTATGAAACATGAGTTTTAACCTGAAAATATGATTATGTGTGTGGATTTGGACATCTAAAAATGCAAAATAGAAATTTCAGCGTTCTGTTTGATTTTTTAAAATGTCGCCCCGAATCGAATTTTCCATATTCTTGAAGGAGATGAGTGGAGTTTGAAAGCTCTATGAGTTTTATGTCTGTTGACTTTGGAATCAAGTCATTTGAAGGTCGGTAGGATAAATTATGCAATTTTTCATTTGCTGTGTTTAGTGTACCTGTGAACAACTTTTGGAATTTGAAAATAGTCTAATGGAATTTATAAAAATTCTGAATTTTTTAATTAATGAGTTAATGAAATACTATGAAAATGTCATATAATTTTGAATTTGAAAATAGTCTAATGGAAGCAGGTTTCTCAGTTGAACTCCGTTAACGTACGCTAACCTCCATTTTCATCATCAATTTTTGTTTTATTTATTCAATAAATCAAAGGTAACTAACTTAAATCAATTTTTTCGTTTGTTGTTAGAACTTGTAATAGAACGTAAGGGTAATTTACGAAATAAAAAAGAAATAATGAAAAAAATTAATTTAAATCAATTTTCAAAAATCTAAGAAACAAATTTTTTTGTAACAATTCCAAATTCTAAGATTTGGGTGTAATAGATAGAAATCTAGTTTGACTTAAAAACTCCCATTTGTAACATTATGGAACACAAATTTCCAAGCATAATTAAAGACTATGAATAGATATGTTTCATTCTTTTTCTAGGAGACACTTTTTTGTGAGAAAACACATAGTTTCACCATAGACTCTCGAGATCTTTGGCTAGGGTTCAGGAATTTGAAAATAAAATTTCATCAATTTGTTTGGAGATCTAAGATCATCAAGAAAAGAGTTGAAGAAATGTTGTTAAGATTTGTGTGATGAAGAACAACAATATATCGAATTTCTTTCACTTCTTTCGTTTTAAATGAACCCAATGATTTGTCATCTCTTGTTTGTTTAATTCTGCAATTATGAACGACTAGATAATTCGTTGTTAGGATAAACTATGTAACTTAGGTTTTAAGGATAATTTAATTCAAAAGACTTCATGTAACTTTTATAACGTGTTAATTGCTTATTATGTTATTAATTACAGTAAATTGCTTGATCGCCAATTGATTAATTTATAAACAATAATGATACTGATATGTCATTAATTTGTCTAGCTTGTACAATATATATATATGTTTAGATAAGAGATTGACATCTACCTTTTAGATTATGCAATCTTGATTGAATTTCTACAAATTAATACGTTTATGTATATGTATAAGGATTTACATAGAGATATAGTAAATTCGAGTATGTGAATATGGTTAGTTTGACTCGAGATAGGTCAATAGTTAAAGTTAGTTAATTCAATTGTTAACGCCCATAAAAAGTGGCAGAATGATACTGAATTAAATGAATGATAATTGACTAAGTGAAACCGAAAATTTTAACTACCTAATCCCGTCAAATCTTTCATAAACATGCATCGATTTAGTTAAATTAGTTTATTGTAATTTTTATTTATATTCAATTCTTAAATCATCAAATGGTAACGACATTAGGTTAATTCGATGCTAGGTTTAGAATAGAAATTAAGAGCTAATAACTAGTATATGAAAGACTGATATATACTTGGGCGTTGAATCCGCTTTATTACTTGTCATTAGATACACTTGTGGTTTACGCGAACAGCCATCATGCATGCCATATTGCTATTTTATTATTGCCAGCATATCACTTGCCTCACATTTGCTATGCTATTATTTGAAGTTGTGCGAGCATATTGTCTATAGCGATGTATGATCGTATGTACAAAATTGAATGGGTTTACTTTGTCGCCGAGTTTGGAGAAAGATCGATTTGTTATTATTTTACTCTATTTGTCACGAGTGTTTTGAAGGGGTCCCCAATTTTTTTTTTAAGGGTTTTGTTGACAAGTACAATTTTGTACATATCGTGAAAGAAAAGAGTCAATCAAGAAAGAGTAATGATATTTATCATCTGGGTATCACGATAGATAGCATTATCTCTAAAGAAAATAACATGCAATGAAAAATTAATTCATTACACTTTTTTTTTTAATTTTTTGCCCATTACATGTTCCACAAATAAAAAGGTAAATAAAAGTACAATAAAAAATAGTCTGAAAAGGTAACCAACAAGCACACACTCTTATCACAAACACAAACCAAACACAGCATCTAAACCATAGCAACAATTCTTGAAATCATGTAAAACAATCCGGTGCCTACGGCGCACATCAACGCCGAGAGAGAGCAACACAAGAGAGCAAGATCAGGAGAATGAACAAAAGAATCCCTCCAAATGATCCAATCAAAGAGCCAGAAATCCTTTCACAGAAAGAGTTAAATTGTTGACAAATAGCAAACCAATTTGCCTTCGTATTTCCTGTGTGCGCTAAATATACTATTGCTGCTGCTGCAGATGCTGCTGCAGTTAAAAGCGCCAGCATTCCCTACATAACAGTCAAATCCACATTTTTTAGATAAAAAAATGTAACAAATAAATTTTATTGAGAGTGAAATGGAGAACTAATGTGGAGGAATGTATTTTATTTACCGTGTCGAGGAAAATCAAGACAATCCTGCTGACTTGTGCTTTACTCCTTATGATGTGGAAAATGGACAGTGCAAGAGAAAGAAATAGATACACACTTACGATGGAATTGGCCACCACGAAAAACCTGCACAAAATACTCAAGAATTAAGCATTTATATAGATGTTGAAAAAACCCAGCATTTAAATGTCTCATGTTAGAACAAAGGGTGACGGTTACATTAGATGGACAGACAACATAAATTCCATCAAATCTTCTAACATGTATGAAAGAACACTCGCATGCACTTACGTAAACATTGGAAGATCATCATATTTGGCGCGGAATCGAATAAATCGCGTGAAAAAGGGTAGTGTTTCATTAGTTGTTCCCATTGCAATAGCACTTCCCAAGGTCGCAATCGCCGCAACAATTCTCAAGATAAAATCAAGTATCGACGCACCTCGACTTGCACTGGTTTTCGGAGTTGAACTCGAGCCTAACTCAATCACTCCTGCCTTCATTTTGTCAAATAGATGATCTTAAATCGCTCAAGAAATTTATGCTATGAATGCTCCATATCAGGCAGGGCGTGAAGAATTTATAGGGTCAGGAAAGGTGTGAATAAAATTTAATTAAAACCACTCTTCATGTGGTTAGTACATTATGCAAGCAAACCGATGTCAAAAAAGGATAATAATTAAGCCAACTTATCGTACTAGCTCTATTATCACAAGATATTTTAATACCAAAATGAATTTGTTTGCATATCTCCCAACTCCACCGGATCTTTTCCAGTCTAGGAAAATTGACGTACATAAGAGAACATGAGATGAACTAATCCACAACATTTATAATTCATGAACGACGCGTGGAATTTTGTTTTTATTGAATATAAATTGATTTTAGGAATATTGAGCGTGGTAGGGTAAGGTTGATCCTCGATAGGGACAACATGCAATGCTTACGTGATTTTCACAAATAGAGATGGTGGAGGATTACAATTTTTGCTCGTTTTGCAAGTGTTTATGAGAGAGTGATATGAAATCATGTCGATAATGCTGATTAAGTGGATATGCATGTTGTTGATGTTAAAAAACTATACGAAACTCTTATCTTACTCATTGATGGAGAACAAACCTCAATGGTCCGTTTGATTGCAAATGTGAAAAATGGGTGGAAAAAAAATGTTTCACAGGGAATTGATTTGCCTAGAAATTGTTTTATTGAGAATTGTAATTAATTGTGTTTGATTGATATAATTTTCCATGGAAAATGTTGAAAGTTTGATATCCGTTTGACTTTGTTTTTTATGAAAATTGTCCATTAAAGTGATAGTATTTTCTACCAGTGTCTAGAATTTGTTTCAATTGTCAAAAAAAAATTGAAAAAAAATAATCATACCAAATACCATTCGTTTGGCTTTGTTTTACATGAAAATTGTCAATAAAAGTAAAATTTTTTTTTACCATTATATCTAAAATTTTTTCCAATTGCAAAAAAAAAATAAAAAAAAAACCTGAAAAATATTTACCCACAAAAATATCAAGAATTTATTTTCTTAAAAAAGGGTGGAAATTTTGGAAAGTTGGAAAATGGAAAATGTGTGTTATCAAACGGGGCCTAAATATAAAAGAAAAATAAATGCATAAATTAGCTCAATCCTCTATGAAAAAAGAAGGTTGATTATATATCACATTTTGATTTCTAAATCTGTATTTGAATTTGAAATTGGTAAATCAAAGTATGTTGAAAAAGTTGCAAGTATTGTGTGCAAAAATTACATATATATAGGGTAAACTAAAGCAAATGTTCTCAACCTTTGGGTTCATTTGCATTTTTCATATTCAATCTTTCTTGTTTTGACGAACTTATTCATTTGGAGTTGCAAAAATAGTTTATGTGACTCTAAATGATAGGTTAAATGAAAAGTGAAATTAAATGACTTATTTAATTTCACATATTATTTAATACCACATTAATACCACATAAACTGTGTTTGCAACCCCAATAAGGATGAATAACATTACTCTTTTGAAAATTAGAGTCACTAATCTAATGAATGAATTCTGTTCGTTCCTCCGTTAGGCAGCCTGTGACTTGAAAGCGCAGAAATTGGAAGGGGCAAAAATTGTCAATTTTTTGAAAATGAGATAAAACTTGGTCCATGTTTGGGTTCCATTTTAGTGTATTTTTGGAGAGAATATATTTTGAAAGTGTGATTCTTTTGAAAATTGTATAATTAAAAGATAAAAAAGATTTTGAATTCACGTATAATAATATTATTTTACGAAAGCATGTGGTTGAAAAATGAGTTGAAAATATGTATTTTGAAAATAGTAAAGCCCAAACAAGGGCTTAAAAACATGAGGCATACTTATGCCAGGATAAATTAAATGAGCAATGTTACTTATAAATAATTGTGTACAGATTAATTTACAATTGACACAAGATTAATTGACTTCATTTTATTTCATTCTCTCTCTCACACATCCACATCATCAATCTATACACAATTATATACAAATTAAATTGCTCAAATTGATAAATATGTCGATCAGATCAGACTAGCGTGAACTATCTTGACATAGGCCAATGTAGACCTTATCAAAACGATGAAGATTGGCTCAGTCCGTGTCCAGTCGAGCAGGCCATGAAGTCCAACCTCAATTTTTTTTTATTTTTTATTTTAGCTGATTTTGCCAAAGTAAAAAAGGTATAACTTGAAAATTACCCTACTTTCGTCCAAAAAACTAAAAAACTTTAAAGCACGTCTTTTCTCATTAAAAAAAATGTTTTACATTGACCTCTTTATATATATTTTTTTAGATATACCTCATTTTCATTTTAAAGTGATATTTCAAATTTTCATTAAAAATCTATATTTTTCACAAATTATATGTTACGGTAACATGTGTTTACTATGTTACTTATAGAGTACTGCTAAAATATTTTTATTTTTATTACAAAAAATATAGAATAACATATATGTATCTGTATCTTACTTTTTATTTAAAGAAACAATGTTTAATACATACAACACATTAGGTTACATTTAAGAACATAATTAACATCATTTGATACATCACAGTACCAAAACAACGATGTTATGTTATCGAATAATGCTATTTGTAAGCAGTGCTTACCCATCAACAGTAACTCACTTTCACTTCTCTAGTTCCAGTAAATTAAAATGCATCCCAACTTTATAGAAAAATGTAACGGTAATCTTACTATCACATCATCACTGATCAATAAGTACCGCTTATGAATAGAAACTCCCTGTTACTCGTATAAAACAACTTCAAACCACTGTCTGTCGCACTATTATCACGAAACATGAGTAACAAATTATATTACTCGTCTAAAATCGCAACACACCACTGTCTACCTCCACAACCACCAAAACAAACACAAGTAATACATGATGTTACTCATTTGAAACCACAGGCCATTGTCTTCCATCACCCCCAGAAAAAAACACAGTTTACATATTATCTGGCTGAAACATACTGCACGTTTGATTATAATGTACGATGAAATTCCACTAAAAATTACTGAAAACCCCATGAAAAAATCAAGTAGATGACAAACAAAAGAATGGTATCATCAAAAGGACATATAAACGTAGCATAATAACTCTTAAAATATACCAGTAGCAAAACTACTTGATATTTTTCAAGTACATTACATGATTTATTGCAAAATTTTAATATATTATATACCCTTGTTTGGTCCACATTATTTTAAAAATACATTTTCTCTCTTATTTTCAATCACATTCTTCAATAAAATAATATTACACACAAATTCAAAACTTTTCTTTATTTTTTAACCACATGTTCTTCATCAAAATACTATTCCAAAATGCATTTTCATCAAAAAGGGGGCTCAACAGGCTTAGAATGATGCATGAAATTTTCAGATTTAGATTATCGGAGTTGTGACTTGCAATCTAAAATGATGAAGCTGTCACACAAGTAGAAGAAGAAGATTCCAGATTGTAGCCACACGAGATGAACCAACCGGCTGTAGCAACAATATGAAACGAAAAAGAAGGCAACAACCTGGCCATACAAAGATCAAGGCAACTCGGGCCTGGACATTCTAGTCAACTTTTACTGTTTTACACCTTGAACCCAGTCATTGAACATTCTTTATTCATGCTCGTCAGAATAGAATTCAAATTTCAATGCTGTCACCGGTGGATGCCTCCATTAGATTTCATGAGCAACAATAGCCGTTGCTGCCTAGATTCAGTGTTTAACTGTCACACTGCTAAATCCTGACCAAGACTAATTGTACAAGGTAACTCTCCCAAGATTTTAATCGTAACAGCCTGTGTATTCAAAAACTCATATTTCTATACTCATAAAAGTTTCTACTTGGTCATTCGAACAAAATAATAATTGTATGCCAGTTCTTGATATATAGCAAGTAGCATTGTCCAGGTGTACTCATTATTCTTGTACAGCTGAACACATTTAAGCACTTGTAGCATTACAGGCATTTTTTTGCTCGAAGTTCAAAGAAGACTGCCAGTAGTGCTGAATTCACTAAAATGCAACAGAAAAGATCATCTTTTGAGCATAAGAGACATTATTGAAGCTATTAAACTGGAATCGGCTAACCTTCAGAATTCCTCTTTTGTTAATGTGGAAGATGATGTAATATGGGCTGACAACAAATCAATTCCCACTTAACCAATTCTTATGACAGCGCTATAGTCATCGAATACAGCAACAGAGATTCTTCATTTGTTATTGAAAATATTTTCACAGCGGCCTTCAACTGCCAACTGGTTAGTTTCTGATCAACTTCTACGGTATTATTTTTACCAATCTACATGAAAGGCATCCCAATTAACAAACTGCCAATAACAAACCTTGTAAAACCTCCAATGTTCTGATCCATGATTCTGAACTCATCCAAAGTCTGACCCATGATTCTGAACTCATCCAAAGAGGGCACCTGATACAAACTATTATCGAAAAGAAAATTTTAAATTCTTTTTATCCTTTAATCCTATTATGTAGAATCCAATCCACTATACCAACAACCAACAACTGTTCCATTAAGTTTTAGTCTTTGTCAAACCTTGTGGAGGGACTCTACAACAACAAGGGCACCATTTATTGAGGATATTACCCATCAACAACACAACACATCCTTAATCGCTAAAAAGCTATATAGAAAATCAGGCAAGTCTAGATTACAAGAAATCAAGTTTGAATCAGAATCAGTATTTAGACAAATCTTGTTTCTAGTCATTAGAACATCCAGTACAAATAGAATAGGACAGCGCATTAAATGAAAGATTATGTAAAGTAGTAGTATAAGACACCAATCTAATGCAATCTATCATTGGCTGCATCTGCAGCTGAAGTCATTAAGTTTGAAATGAACATTATAAACTAAAACAGAAGAATCTGACACGGCTCAAACGTGACTTTCAAGCTTTCAACAAAGTTCAGCTGTTTGGTGAGAGAATGCACGAGTGTACAACTGAACTAGCAGACGTCTC